CTTACCTTCGTGAAACCTGATCCTGGCCACGTATGAGGAGTGGTCTGCCATCGCAGTAGCATGCCACTTTCTCGGCTGAAATCTGCACGGAAACTGGGCTAAAAGGGAGGGGGGTATACGCTGGTGCCTTTCTCCATACTCCGCCCGCGCTGTCGCATGGCAAGCCACACTTCGCTACTTCTCTGCGGGCGCCGACACACATGATTTTTTTCTGCCATTGAGTGCGTGTTCTGTTGCGGGATCTTTGTTTCAACGCATATGCTGTACTTCGAGGACACCGCGCGCCGAGTATGGAGACGGCAACCGGTGCGGTTACGGGATTCATGTCAACCGGACATGTTCCGGCTACGAGAGGCCAGAGCTATTTTTTCATCCCATCTACTGGCTCCAGGCAGTGTTAAGGAGGAAAAAGGAGGAGGGAAGAAGAGAAGGAAGGAAAGTAAAGGAAGGAGGAAGAAAAATGGGAGGAGGAGGAAGGCTCCGCGGTCGACAAATATCCTGAGACACGGTACCTCTACCATCTAGGGCCAACGATTCCCGTGCACTTTTTTGCGAAGAAAGTGGCACGTTACTGCAACTGAGGACTCACTCACCTCATATATGGAGGGTATCGTCCTCGAAAGTGAGTGTGTAAAACTTGCCTTCAAGGGGATGAGGATGATCAAGACGGATGCCTATTTTGAGCGGCATGATGAGACGCCGCGAGGGTGCTGACTCACCGGTTTGGAGAGAGGATGCAGAAGGAAATAGAGGCAGAGTAAAGCAGATGTTGTCGGCTAAGCAGACTTTAAAGTAAGAAAAAATATCGACGGATGATTCCCGAGTGCTTTTTCTTTTGTTTTCCTTCTTCTTTCTTTCCACTCTTCTCTCCGGCATCGAAGGACATCTGAAAAGCATCAATTCCTCATATTCATAAATAGTAATTACATGCCCGTAGCACAGTTCACGCTCCAGTTCTCTCGCCGTAATTGTTGTTTATTCTCAGCTTCACGAAACGCTTCTTATTATTAGCTTATCGTGGTCATTCTTGCGTCAGTAAAGCGTACAGTCGAGCATGTTGAAAGCAGCCGCCGTTCATCTGCTTCTACTGTTACTGGCCATCGTATTCAGTACCGCTGAGGTGAGTAGTGTTACGTTTTTACCATTCTATGAGTTACAGTATACTACCGTTTCACCAAATGATTTCGGTTGTCGGTTGAGGTGCTGGGGGTCTGCGAAAGAGGCTCCGCAAGCGGCATCATAGGCGTGGCAATCGCACTGTTGCCTATCAGAGCACTCCTTGACGATGGGATAAATTTTTTGAAAATCCAGGCCATCCCCTCCTTGATTTCCTGTCCTGGTACGACTCACCTCCTTATGTCACCTGCCATTCTACTGACCTTACTTAATTTTCCTGCTTCCAACCAGTTTTTCACGAAATTCTCCACTTTTCCCCAAAAAATCTGCGGGTGGAGCAGGGGGTATTAAGCGCGAAAAGTCAACAACAGAGAAAAATTGTCTCGTGCACGGGGAAAAATTCTTGACGCCAAATAGGACTGCCCCTGAAAGCCACGAGCAAGTGCGACCCTCCCCCTCTCTCCACCCCCGTAGGAGCATCCCGAAATTGTGGAAAACGTGTGTGAATCATGAAAAATGAACTGTTGAAAAAGGTTTTGCAGGCCAAATACGACCTCCCCTTCTTCCTCCACCAACCAGATAAGACCCTCTGACAAAGGATCTCCAACGTACCCTCGTGCCTACAGTGCAAGTCCCTAAGACGAGGTAGGGGTGGCTACTACCTAGTTTGAAGGTTCAGGTGGCTCTAGGTGAAATATTTGCATTTTGGGACAATTGTGCTCATGTCTTCTCCAACCCATGAACTGCAACTTCGTGCGGCTGCTGAAATGAACACCTCGTACCACCAGAATGCTGAGTTATGGGCAAAAGTCGAACCCGAGGCGGGAGTCGAACAAAACGGCAGCTTGGGTCATCTATACTATTATCTCGTTACGACCATTCTCGAGGCTTCCTTGCACGCGAGCGAAGAGTCCAATAAACGGATAACAGTAGGCTGATGGGCTTCTTCGCCTGCACATGCAGTAGAAAGCCGATAAAGTTAGCTTAGGCATAGAGCTACAGATTTGAAGGTAAAAACTCGTGACCACAGATTGCTGGTATCGGAGCTCACATACGATTGACAAAGTGCTAGGTAAGTGATTAGTGGAGAAAAGAAGCAGAAAAAGCAGTCAAAATGCCCTAAATAGGACTTCATGCCGACCCCAACTTGTACGTGCATGCAATGAAGAAAAAGCGTGTTTGTACGAATTTCCACTCGTCGTTATCATAAAGATATCAGCTCTCTTATCTTATCACCTCACTCTCACCATTCGAAATGAAGGGGTATGTGGCGAAGAGAATCGTATTTCGCCGCGCCAGTGGGCGTCGCGTGCGACGTCGCGCCCGCTAATGACGACGATTTTAGGTGGTATTGGTCGAGAATAGACAATGTATGACCAAAAATAGACATAGGTGTCTTTGTCTACATGAAATCCGATGCTCTAGCCGAAAGGGTAGTGCGGAACAGGGAAACGTCGCGCTCATTGCCGCGCGCGACGAAGCGGCAATTTGCGATTCTCTTACCCGTCTCCCGGAATGGAGAGAGATAGCATAGTGGCTACTAGCTAGTAGCTAGCAGCCAGTGGGGTCGGCATGGGCCTAAGGGGTGCCCATGGGCCTAATTGGTCAGCTTCCAGCGGAGTTCTTGCCAATTTCCACTTTTTGAAGGTAGCACAGCCTCCGGAATCGCCTTCCGGATCATCTGACACATTTGAGAGATCATACACCTTATTTTATCGCGGAAAGTGCCTTTAATTTTTCAGGGCAGTCTCAGAGAAGAAGCGATGGATTCGGATCTCTCAGATCAAAGGACCGAGGGTGTTATGTCGCGGTTTAGAGTACGTTTTCATACGGGTTTCATTGCTTTTTGTCTTTCTTTTCTATCTTATCCTTATTTCTTTACCCTTCTAAAGATACTATGAACGGTTGCCGTACAGGTGGGATGTTTCTTGCGCATTTCTGTGAAATGGCAACGTCAGTATGACTCCCACAGAATTCCCTCCTCTGGTACGACCTCGTTTCCTTTCCCCTTCCACCTACCATTATTCTAATTCTCCCAACTTCCTGAAATCTTCCCAGCTCTTCGAAAAAGGGTGGGGAAGAGGTTCATCAAACAATTGTCAGAATTAGTGACTTTATGGTGATTCTGTCACTAGGGGGCAGGTGAGAGAAAAAGGGAAAAATCGAAGAAAGTCAACAAGGGAAGAAATTTCCCCTCACTAGAAGTGGGTTGAAGAAAATTAGAGCTTCTGACTGCGCTGATGTCTCCGCCTGCGATTGGCTCATCGTTAGTCACTCAGCCAGGCCATGCGCGCTTACGCCCTCGTCTGGCGGCTCTCAGCGACCGTAGAGCTTTGCGTGCCCTTTGCTTGAGCCTTTCTGAGAGGCCCCTCTCTAACGTAATTTTATTATCATTACAACTGGAACTATTCCTGAATAACATCTTCACCGGGCGCATTAAAACCGGCACTATTTGGCATGAAGAGGATACAGAACGAGCCAGCGGCCAACGTGATTTGGCTCTTGGTGCATATATGCGCGCCGACATGGAAGCAACGCTTCTTGCTATCCTTACGCACCTCAATAGCGAGAGTGGCCCTATTTCTGGCGCATGCTAGACCTGTTCACCACGTACACGGTCGAAAACACACCGCCTCAAAAACACCGTACAATGTGTTCCTTAATTGGTGTATTTACTCTGTCATATAATTTAGTATGGTTTCAGAGGATGGACTGTTGTCGATACAATCAGGTGCTGAATTGCTGTACGTTTTTGTGGGATTGGAACGAGGCGATTTAATTGTCGATGACGTCATAGTCGTATTCCTACAGTTTCAATCCTATTAAAATTGTGACTAATGTGTTTCTATGTGGCGTGTAATCGGTAGTAAAAATCGTCGGCATAAACATGTTACTTGTAACGTATTTATCGATCGTAGCATTGCATGGCAACCTTTACTGGTATCTTTATCGAAAATGGTCGTTTGCCCAGTAGACGATGAGTTTTTGTTTCCTACAAATGATGCAGTGCTATTCTGGTGCACCACAGACAGACAGCGGTACTACAGTTGAGCGATCTTACATTGAATTTATTACAGGGTCCTTATGTGAGTGTTCAAGGCATAGTTCGCGATGACTGAATGGGCGGGGTCTCGCAACCATTGCGCCTTGCTGATTGCTCTGCTCTCGTTGCACTCGAGGAAGAAAGTGTCGGCAACATCACAACACTTCCAGTGCTCTGGCCTGGAAGTGTTGTGATTCCCATTTCTCGACCCATCGTCACCGCGGAATGCTGTCTTAGAAACGCTGTGGTTCCTTCTAGTGGTTCTAGAACTGACCATGAGATGAATCAGTTTCACAAGCAGTGTTAAGAAAGGTTTCTTCTAGCCAGGCTTTTCTTCTCGCCAGACGCCAGCTTTTCCTAGTCAGAAAGCGGCCTTAGGACTGGTTCGGAAAACTGGTGGTGGAGGACCCGCATGTTTTGAGTACACTCAACTCACCGTCAGGGCACAGCACCCTTTGTGAAAAACACTGCGAGGAAGTCGTAATTTGGCCACTGGGGACTTTGATCGTAATTGCCCTCGAAACATTTCTTAAGTAGTTGATTTCTGTTTGAGCCACTCGTCACTGGCAGATTTCAATAGGGAGAGGGGTCGCATTTCCACGCCTTTTCCCGTTTTTGAAAATTTTCCCACTTCACGTGCGTTATATATCCCACCTTCCACCCCATTCTTACAAGGGAGGTCGTTCAGGGCGTGGTGAGCTTTTCGAAAACGGTTTTTTGCATATTGTAGGGGCTCATGCAAGGACCTGAAAGCTGTGCTTCATTTTCGCTGCGCGCTTCCAGGAAAGGTAAAAAACGACATCGCTGAACAGAAATTTTTGGAATCTGCTTCATTCTGGACCTCTATACGGCGTAGGTCACTTGCAACTTTGACCACTTGCTGAGTGGGGGGGTCCTATAAAGGGGCTATTTGAATCGAAGCGAAAAATCGCCGTAAGCTTCCAACTTGGGTCACGTGCTCAAGGCTAACGGCTCTCTTGCGTTATCTCATCAACGGATAAGAGCGCTAAGACATGAGTCGAGCATGTGCATGACCTACGATGTGGTGAAGGTTTCGCAATCGAGGTGATGGGTGGCGTTATCGTTTCGGCTCCCCTTGTGCTCGGACTTTTGCATTTTCCAGATTTCGCTGTTCTCGCTTCCATTAGTGTCCGCGCATGAATATAACTGCGGATGTTTGCCATTTATGGGCCACATTCTGAGCAGCTTCACCTCATAAGTCAGTGCTATTCTACTATTTCGGTTTTCACGCACGACATTGAACGAGATCTGTTTGCTCGGACGTCTGATCCCATAGGCTTATACAGCTGCATCTGATTGTGGGACTTAGTTAACTTCTGATTTAGTGTGGACAATTATAGGACAATTTGAACGCCACATTCTTCTACTTCCATTGAATTCGTTATGTACACCAATATAGGGAACGTTCACCGCTATTCTGTCGCCAAATTGCGTGGACCAAGAATAGGTGTTATATTTGTGATCAGGGCCACTGATTACCACTAAAAACGAATTTTCGGTCAAAACAATTGTTTTGACCTTCTTGGGTTTGCTTATTGAGTTGCGCGTCGTCCGTGCGTCAACGCAACCTTATCGCTGTTACGAAGATGTGAGAGCTGTCGCTCAGCACGCCGACAAACACGTCACCTACAACACGAAAAGTCAAAAAATTTTTTTTGTTAAACTTCGCATCGCTCCTAGGGGTAATCGACAGTCCCTGATCACGATTCTAGACTTTATTTTCGGTTCCAGTGCCATCTGGCACCGGCATAGCGCCGAAGAGCTGAGTCTGTGCATACAAACGAATTCGAACGAAAAAGCAGTTTTGCTCCATAAAAGTAGGATTGTTCAGTTTATCGTGAATGTTTTTGTTAGGACCAATTATTTAGACAAACATGGATCCAAAAAATGAAAAACTTGTAGAAAAGCAAAATTTTGTCCTCTGGCGATCCAACCGCATCGCACCTATTTTTTAGCGTTATTTATTTTTTTACTTTTTTATTCGTTAAAGTCGCGCAGCGAAAATAAACCAGTTCCTGTGGATCCTCGTTGTGTGCCCACTACAATATCATGACACAAGAATTTTGAAAAAACTCAACCATCGCCCTGAACGACCTCCCTTGTTCGTGATCGCGCCAGTGCACATCGCTGTTGTTAAGTCCCCAACGGGGGGGGGGGGGGGTGTGTTTTGGTCGCCGGGAGAGGGGGAGGTCGTATCTGGGCTGAGAAAAATTTATTTTGATAATGATTTGATATTGATATTTTGATACTGATTTTTCTCGCTTTACGGACTTTGTGAAAGGGGCGGGGGTGTCGTACTTGCTCGTCGTTGGAAGGGGGGGGTCGTATTTACTTTCTGGCCTTCCGGCTTCTGAGACAGGTGGTTTTTTTCGTGATTTTCCTGTTCATGTATACTATATACCCTCCCCTCCCCTCCGCGCTCGACAGCAATATTTTTGGGAAAAAGTAGGAAAAATTTCGGGAAATTTTGGAAAAGTGGCAGGAAGTTAGGGGAAAATCTGAGAATTGGTAAAAGGGGGGTCGTGTTTTTCACGCGGCTTTTCCCGTTTCCCGTGCTATTTACCCCCTCCCCCTCGCTCGACAGCTCGATGAGGAGGGCCGGAGGGAGGGGGCGTGCTAACCCTCAAAAAAATGGGGGTTGGGGGGTTCGTGCGGACTCGACCAAAATCTGTAACCAATGATGTGCCCTGGCGGCCCCCAAAATTACTATACATTCGCTACTACTTGTATTAAACTGTGATTGTTGTTTGATCGTGAGGAAGGAGAAAATTAAACAGAGCATTAATCCAATATTTTGCACGACGTGATGCTGTGCCCTGCTCACTCTAGCAACCTTGCCTTTGACATTCCATCCTAGAATCGGCCGCACGTCCGCACTATTTTTTGACGTGGTCGGGCTGCCATGGCAATGGACGTTTTGCTAGAGCGCTTCCATGGTAAGCCTCCGATCTTCCAAGAATTATTTGCCTCATGTTGAACTATTGTCGATTTCAGTGGTTTTTTTGCATTCGTCACAGGGGATCTGAATAATTCATTTTTGTAGTAGTATCGCTCTCTCTGGGTGTGCTCCGGAGACAGGCATTGGAAGCGGTACACAGCATTCGCGTCAGGACCCAATCCACTCAACGTCGTAGCGGTGCTGTGCGTTGACTCTCTCGGCTCCCTCTGCGTCTCTCAAGTGGACTAAACCTCTCTATCTGTATTGCAGTTTGATAGAAAACACTCTGCGTCTCTGCTGCATCTCGATAGTAACGCTCCATACCTTGATAAGTTCACCTTAATCTTGAGTCAGCTAGCTAGGAAAAACTTTTTTACTGCACATTGTCGCCAGGTGGACTTCCCGCACTGCAGCTTCAAAAAGGGGTAAGAACAGTATCAGGATATCATATATCGAATCGGCTGGCTTCACCGGCTGATCCTGCTCCCTCCTGGAAGTGGGTCTTACCTACAGATTTTCAAAAGAGAGAGGACAGCAAGATCGGCCGGCTTCACCGGGCATAAAATTAATAAAGGTCCAGTAGGTGGGCTTAGCTCGGGTTCATAGCGTAATCCCCGTACATCCTGACGCCATCTCTACTTCCATACCACTCTTGAGCCGAGCTCTCGAACCGGCTCTTCACGTGATGCCGAATTTCCGGACAGAAAGGAAGACAGTAAAAGAGACGTTGTCTTTATATATACTAGGATAAAATAGAATGCGAGTGACATTGTCGGGCATCGAATACCACTTCTCCTATCAGTAGGCTTCATATGGGATTACCAGTCTGGCTGACGCGCATTACTGCGCGCATGGTATGGGAATCTATGGTACTGATAGGTTGTGAAAAACAGCACTAACACTTGACGCTAATTCCGCCCATGGTTTCAAAATTCCGGCCCCATTTCATCAAGTTTTCTCCCCATTTATGAACATTTGCCAATGTTTGGTGCTTATCATATTTCTAAAAGCACCCTTCGTTGCATTCGTTGAAATAGGACAACATAGCGGTTAGAAGAATTTCGATGGAAAGAAACCATAGTGGCTCTTATCATTCCTCATTGGCCAACAACTCCAGACATCCTGTTATCGGTGAAACTCTAGCGTTTAGCTCTGGAAGCGATTCCGGCGGCTAAACTGAGGTCGCTTCGCTATGATAGAAACATCTTGACTCACTAGCCTTTGCCCATTGATTCTTTGGCCATGGTGATGTGAGCATATACGGACTCCAAAAGCCCTTGGACACTGTCAGAATTTATCGCCCACCTTTAACGTTCACTCAGCACCTCTGAATTACTTGCTCGACTAGTTCCAGTGTTGCCTACAACTCTCGCGCATGCGAACTTCGGGGCAATCTTATCAGGCTGTTATGCACTGTCTGCCACCAAACCATCATGTCTCCCATCCTGCCCCGCTATCTTATTCTGAACCCAAATGTCCATCGTCGCTGATGCCGATGTGTATGAATATTGCCGACCCCTCTCCCTTCTGAGGCTCCTGATTATCTTACCAGCTGTTTCCACGTCCCTGCGACCACCGATAATGTTCCCATCCTGCCTTACTCACTAGGTTACTTGGAACGCTAATTTCTACCATCGCTTTACGCACGTTATGGATCATGTGACCCTCCCCCTGTAAGGTTCCTTATGTTATCTTACCAGCTGTTATCACGCCCGGCTGCCCACCAATAATGTTCCCATCCTGCCTCCTATCTTACTTCTTGGAACCAACGTTCTAC